CGATTTGGGATTCAAGATAAACCGGTGACTTGGGACACCAAAAGCCAAACCTTTCCCAAGTGGCGACTCTGAATTAAATAAATAATCCCATTTCGAATATTGTCACTTAAATTGGAAAAACTCACTCGCGCATTTAACCCTTCGGGGCGGGCGCGCAAGAAGGAGGTGTGACAATTAGTAATGCATAAAGCTAATGCTTGCATTATTTTTTCTAATACCTCCTATCAAACGACCCCTAAGAGCCTCGATAGGTTACCTTTTCTCCCGCTCAATTATTTACTCTTTTCTTTTTTTCCCGCTCATTGGTTTACCTAATGGATTTATAGCATGTTTGGCCAAGCTTCTAATTTGAGAAATCCTTTTCTCGAAAGTATTTTTGGTGAGAAGCAGTTTGTGGTTGGCTAATTAATTTGAAAAATACTTTTGAGTAGTAATTAGTGTTTAGCCAAGCTTTTGAAAACTACTTCCAAGTGTATTTTTCTCAAAAGTGCTTCTCAGAAAAGTGATTTTGGAGAAAAACTATTTTTTTCTGCTTCTCCTATAAAGCACTCTTTTTATTTCCAAAAGCTTGGCCAAACACCTCAATTTTTGGCCAAAAGTATTTTTGGCCAAAAAAAGCACTTTTAACCCCAAAAAAACTTGGTCAAACAAACTATTAATTTTGTTACATTGATAATATACAAAGTGAGATATTTTGATAAATTACGATTTGAATAAACCAAAATGAATCAGTTATTTTTTATTTTTTATTTATTGATTTCATGTATAAAAAAAAGACGTGTAATTAAAATATTATTTGTCAATTAACAATGTTCTTTTCATTTTTCATTCATTACCAACTATGAACCCCACTGGTTTTTTATATACTACTTCCTATGTTTGTTTATATGGAAATTATTCTTATTAATCCGTGTCAAATAATGATACATTTCTATAATTGAAAATAATTTTACAAAATTTTATTTTTCTATTTTCTCCTTAATGAGAAATTTTTATAATTATACAAATATTATAGTCCCTCAAAGCTTTTATCTTTTATGCTATAAAGACCACAAGCTTCATGTAACGACTCGACCGGTCATTTTGACTTTTATATCCTGGTTCCCCTAATTAAGACTTCTCATATGTGCTTTTACTATTTTATGACTTGCAGCGATGGTTGGTTTGGGTTTGATAGGATTCGGGTTGAAATCGGAACACTTGGTTTCTTAATAGTGGCCTAAGATGGTCAAGTTTGACTTGAGTCAACATTTTGAGTAAACGATCTTAGAACTGGAATTTTCTGATTCTAATAGGTCCGTATAATAATTTTGGACTTGGGCGTGTGTTTGGATCGGGTTTCGGGTGATCCGGGAGCGTTTCGACGCTTAGTGTTGAAAGTTGACGCATTGAAGATTTTCAAGTTCTTTAAATTTAGTTTGAAATAGACTTCGGTGTTATCGAGGTCCGTTTGGGATTATGAGCCCGGTAATAGGTCTGTATGGTGATTTATGACTTGTACGCAAAATTTGATGTCATTCTAAGTTGTCTAAGTAAGATTCGAAGCGTTCGGAGTTGTTGAAAAGTTTGAAGTTCATAAGTTGATTCAATTTAGTTTTGGGGTGCGATTCTTAGTTTCGATGTTATTTTAAGTGTTCCGAGGATTCGAGCATGTCCATATTATGTTTATGGACTTGTTGGTATAATTGAACAGGGTCCCAGGTGGCTCGGGTGAATTTCGGACTACCCTGAGCTAAGTCTGAAATTTTGTGTTGCTGTCTGATTTCCTTCTTCGCGAACGCGGAGGTGGAGCGCGTTCGCGGAGAAGGAATTGGGGGACTGGGCATTTTTCCCTACCCGTCCCCGAAGCTTCAGGACCTGGGGCCTTTGCGTTCCCGTAGAATAAAGGGTATGGGGTGGGTTAACCACCTTTGCTCTTCGCATTTGTGAAGGGCTGATCGTGTTCGCGAAGCTCAGGCTGGGCAAGCCTTCGCTTCGTGTGTCTTCCCCCGCGTTCGCGACGTAGACCTCCTAGGCCTGGGCCAGCTTTGCCTTCGCGATCGCGAGGTCTCTTCCGCGATCGCGAAGAAAGGTCAACTGGGTAGTGTTTTGTTTTAGAACGAGACTTGGGTTTATTTTCTCTTATTTCACTTTGGGTTAGCCAATTTTGGAGCACTTGGAGAGGGATTTTTCACCTATTATTATAAAGTAAGTAATTACTACTTAATGTGAGTTTAATACATGGATTTTAGTTAGATTTTAACATGTAAGTTGTGGAAATTATAGGATTTTTGTTGAAAAGCCTAGATTTTGATAAAATTGGGATTAGACCACGAAAATGATTATGGAATTGAGTGGAAACTATACATTTGTGTTCGTGAGGTTATGGGTAATATTTATTGACAGAAATTTCCAAAATCGGGGCACGTGGGCCCCGAGGTGAATTTTAGGAATCTTCTTATTTGGGTTGGGTAATTACTCTAATAGTGAAATTATTAACTTTTGAGTATATATTGATTAGTTTGTACTACATTTGGCTAGTTTCGGATTTACGTAGCACCAATTTGAGACTTTTGGTGTGAATTGTGGACCGGGAAAAGAACTTGGAAACGAGGTACGTCTCTTGCCTAACCTTGTAAAAGGGAATTATACTCGTATGTGTTATAAATGGTTATCTGCTAATAATAGTGGGTGCTACATGCTCACGATATGACGAGAGTCCGTACGTAGCTAAAATCATGCTTATGTCCGGGTAATTTTAGGACTCTACCATACATTACTTGTATTATTTGCACCCAACTTGTTAGTTTAAATACTTAAATTTATAATTGAAATTGGATAAATGATTTGTAAAGACCGAGCTTCATTACTTTGAGTCTTGGCGGAATACTTCATTGTTAGCGGAACTTATGCCTTCTTTGAGTATTAATCTTATGTGGTAGTCGTAAATCGGAGCTTGTAGAGTATTCTCTATTCATGTGGATCGGGCCGAACGCCTCAGCAGTATAATAGATGCATTTATGGTTCGTGCCGGTCGACCCTTAGCAGTGTACACCTATTCTGGAACGGGCCATACGACCTCGGCATAAATTGTGCGTGATATTGCTCGGAATCCGATTATACTTGATATTTATTCTTGATCTGAGACTAGAAAATTACTTGGTGGTTCTTATGTGTTAAATACTTGGCCTGTGATAGTTGGAGACTTTAAATTAATATTATGTCTAAGAATTATAAATTTATGTTTCTTTATCTCACTATTATTTATATATTTCATGCCTACTTATGGTTTCTATATTTTATTTATTGACCCTTAGTAAGTGTCCTTGTCGTCACAACTTCTTCAAGGCTAGACTAGATACTTACTGGGTGCATGTTGTTTTTGTACTCACGCTACACTTCTGCACTAATTGTGCAGGATCTGAGGTAGGTGCATCTGGCGGCCATTCAGGCGCGTACCCCCACTACCCAGAGACTTAGTGGTGAGCTGCTCCCTATGCTCCGTTCTGCAGCACCCCGAGTCTCTTCCTTATTGTATTTATTTTTTTGTCTATCTTACTCAGACAGTAGTATAGGAGATTTTATATATTCTACTAGTTTGCTCGTACACTTGTGACATCAAATTTTGGAAGATTCTAATAGATATTTCATGATTTTTTATTATTAAATTTACTACTTCACGCTTTCGTTTATTTCATGCTTGACATTATTACGATCACCTATTAATTGTTCCTTTATTAAATAAAATCAATGACTTTAAAAATATTAAAATAAATAATTATATGGATAGTTCACCGTTGGCTTGCCTAGCGGCGATGTTAGGCGTCATTACGGCCTATAATAGAAATTGGGTCGTGATACTTTAAAAGTTTTTTTTAAACTTCATGCCGAATCAAAATATATCGTATAAAATATAAATTGAACCGGTGGAGTATTAGGTTATTCTATTGTAGATAATTGACTCTAACATCCGTCATTTTAGATTTTATATTTGTCGCTTGTCCAATTTTAGGAGCTATTTTACCAACTCTGCATTCCGAAGACTTTAAAAATCAAAATATTTATTTTTAGATTTTATTTTATTTTATAAATCATGGTAAAAAGCATACGACAAGTTTCAACCATTTTAGATCCAACATTAGGTCGCAAAAATAACAACACATTCCCAAAAGATATTCCCTTCAAATTCAGACGAAATACATGTGCCACGCTTTTGAATAGTTCTTGAATAATATTTGTTGAAGTAAAGCAGGGAAGAGGCTAGTGGTTCTCAGGAAATTATTTCTGCAGGGAGGTTAGATGATTAGGCCTTGTTTGTCCAAAAAAAAAAAAAATCCTTTTTTTTTCAAAAAACAATTTCGAAAAATGTATTTGTCTACAAAATTTTGCAAGTTTTTGAAATTTTTTCGAAAATGAGTTTTTCAAAAATCAAAAAGTGATTTTGACCACTTTTTAAAAAATTTCAGAAAAACTTTCTTCCCCACTCACAAAAATGCAATATTTTTTCAAGTGAAAAGCATGTTCAAACATAATTTCAAATTCCAAATATCATTTTTCAACTTAACTCCAAATACTTTTTTTTAAAAAAAAAATTATACTTTTTATGTCCAAATGCCTACTTAATTTTCCCTAGAAAATAAATTTTTTTAATTATAAAAAAAATATTTGGTTGAAGTAAAAAAAAAAGAATATTAAATTGAGGTTGAAAAAGAAGATTTGGAAGAGACTTATCAAACATGAAATAATCTATATATATATATATAAAGCTGAGCCTAGCACAGCTGATGTGGCAGGCCTCTAAGGCCAGTATACCTATTTCTCTTTTATCTCCTTTTTTTTGACATTTCTTCTTTTTCTTTTAATTAATTAAAATTAATAATTAATTAATACTCCAGCATGAAAGAAGATGCCTTTTCCCATATCCTGAATAGTTACTTCTCTTTAAGTTCTTATTAATTACTCCCAAACGTAACGTATATCCCCTCTAAAGTTTTTACAAATTTTTTAATCTTTATCAACTCATATTTTCTGTATCCACGAAACAAATATCAGTACCTTTCTCCTTCTTCTTCCTTTCTCTTTAAATTTGCAGGGGCTTTCCTCGTCCTTTTGATGTGGGTTTGGGGTAGTTGAGGCGCAACCATCATAATCACCTTCAGAATTTTATTTTTGTTGTGGGCACGTTTATATTTGCCTTCTTCTATTTCAGCATTAACATCTAAACTTTTTTGCAGTGACGATTAACAACGGCAGAAAGCACTGCCATGAAAAAGGTAAGGAAGTTTTATTCAGCTCTAATTCATTCATTATTTATGCAATTATTATTTGAAAACTAGCAATTCAATGCGATTTGTGTATGTGTTATGCATATGACGGTTTTTTGTCTAGAAAATATACGAAGTCTGATCTGATCTTCATAAAATTATGTCGTATGCTTACTGAACGTGCTCCAACGGCCAGATGATGCTGCCATCTCTTCCTCCTATCACCGCAAAATGCCCTCAGACTGAAGATGGTACCTACATCTACTCTCATGCTCTCTGTCATCTCAACCCGTTCATCAATTGAGCAGTTTTAGGTTAGCAACAATCACTTTCCGGTGTGATTTCTGGGGGATTTTGGGGGTTGCCGAAACTCCAAATAATTGATGTTGCAATGAATAGGTTTAAAGGTTTCATTACTTCTGTCATATATGATCCATCTACAAAGCAGTTATTTTTGTTTTATATCTGTTTTCAATTTGGAATATCACTGGCAACTCACAACTATTCTGCATTAGGAAAAAACTGAGTCTCAATATTGAAGATGACGTGTCATAACACGTGGACTGGTCAAAAGGTCAAAACANGATTCCAACGTGAAAGAATGACTTTGCCTCGCGTTCCTAATAATTGGGCTGCAATAGCTTTTGCAAGTAACTTAAATGACAAAAGTTCAGAAGCCACGAGAAGGCTTAAGGAAAGTCTTCGTGAATTTCTTGCAACTACTTGGAATGATGTTTATAACAGGTACAGTACGAAGCTGCGAATCGAGGAAGATACCGTTCCCCAATTTCATCATGAAGAAAGGAGCAGTTCCAAGAGATCAGAGATCAAAAAGAGATCAGGTAAGAATAGGTATGATCCATATATGAGACCTGCAGGGAAAGACTCACGCTCAAAATAGGATAGTCAACGGTATGATCAAAAATCGAGGAACAGGGAATCTGGTTCTTCATCAAGGTTCAGAAATGACCGAAACAGACAAGAGTCACGAGATGATGACAGAAGTTTAAAGGCAAGGTTTGGTGGATATAACTTTAATGTCACTACCTCCGAGCTCGTAGCTGTTTTGAGGAGCATGGGAGATAAGATACGATGGCCAAAAGAGATACGGTCAAATCCAAATAGACACAATCCAGACCATTGGTGCGAATTCCACAATGATCACGAGCATAAAACTTCAGAATGTAGATTCTTACAAAGTGAAGTGGATCATCTATTGAAACAAGAGTATCTCACTGAGTTATTTAGTGAGAAAGGTAAGCAAGCCTATATGAAAAATAGGCAAGAGCCACCAAATCCCCATTCACCCAAAAGAACTGTGAATGTTATAAGTGGGGGAGACGATATTCACGGTGTAACATATACGGCTTCCAACAAGGTTTGTAAAGTAACTATAACACACGGGAAACAGGTACGGCAGGATTTAGAAAATGAAAGTATTTCTTTCGATGATGCAGATACCGAAGGAGTAATGACCCCACATAACGACGCACTGGTAATATCTTTACTTGTACATGATACTAATGTAAAACGAGTTTTGATTGATCCAGGAAGTTCCGTAAATATTATACTATTAAGGGTATTACGTGAAATGCAAGCTGAAGACAAAATGATACCTAAGGCGCATAGCTTGTCCGGGTTCGACAATTCAAGTGTTGTCACACCTCCTTTTTGCGCGCCCGGCCCCGAAGGGTTAAGATGCGCGGGTGGAGTTTTTCCAATTTAAGTGACAATATTCGAA